TGATACACTTAGATATACTTTGATACATTTTGATACATTTAGGTATACTTTGATACTTTTTGATATACTTAGATACACTTAGATATACTTTGATACATTTTGATACATTTAGATATACTTTGATACACTTAGATATACTTTGATACACTTAGATATACTTTGATATACTTTGATGCACTTAGATATACTTTGATACACTTAGATATACTTTGATACATTTTGATACAATTAGATATACTTTGATACACTTAGATAAACTTTGATACACTTAGTTATACTTTGATACACTTAGATATACTTTGATACACTTAGATCTACTTTGATACATTTTGATACAATTAGATATACTTTGATACACTTAGATATACTTTGATATACTTTGATACACTTTGATACACTTAGATAAACTTTGATACACTTAGATATACTTTGATACACTTAGATATACTTTGATACATTTTGATACATTTAGGTATACTTTGATACACTTAGATATACTTTGATATACTTTGATTTACTTTGATATACTTTGATACACTTTGATACACTTAGATAAACTTTGATACACTTAGATATACTTTGATACACTTAGATATACTTAGATACACTTAGATATACTTTGATACACTTTGATATACTTTGATACACTTTGATACACTTAGATATATTTAGATATACTTTGATACTCTTAAATATACTTTGATACATTTTGATTCACTTATATATACTTTGATACACTTAGATATACTTTGATATAATTTGATACACTTTGATACACTTAGATAAACTTTGATACACTTAGATATACTTTAATACACTTAGATATACTTTGATACACTTTGATACACTTAGATAAACTTTCATATACTTTGATACACTTTGATACACTTAGATAAACTTTGATACACTTAGATATACTTTGATACACTTATATATACTTTGATACACTTAGATATATTTAGATATACTTTGATACTCTTAAATATACTTTGATACATTTTGATACACTTATATATACTTTGGTACACTTAGATATACTTTGATACACTTAGATATACTTTGATATACTTTGATACACTTTGATACACTTAGATAAATTTTGATACACTTAAATATACTTTGATACACTTTGATACACTTTAATACACTTAGATAAACATTGATACACTTAGATATACTTTGATACACTTAGATATACTTTGATACATTTTGATATAATTTGATATACTTTGATACACTTTGATACACTTAGATAAACTTTGATACACTTAGATATACTTTGATACACTTAGATATACTTTGATACACTTAGATATACTTTGATACACTTTGATATACTTTGATACACTTTGATACACTTAGATATACTTTGATACACTTAGATATACTTTGATACACTTTGATATACTTAGATACACTTTGATACACTTAGATATACTTTGATACACCTAGATACACTTAGATATACTTTGATACACTTAGATATACTTTGATACACTTATATATACTTTGACATACTTTGATACATTTTGATACATTTAGATATACTTTGATACACTTAGAAATACTTTGATACACTTAGATATACTTTGATATACTTTGATGCACTTAGATATACTTTAATACACTTAGATATATTTTGATACACTTTGATACACTTAGATATACTTTGATATACTTTGATACACATTGATATACTTTGATATACTTTGATACACTTTGATACACTTAGATATACTTTGATACACTTAGATATACTTTGATACACTTTGATATACTTAGATACACTTAGATATACTTTGATACATTTTGATACATTTAGATATTCTTTGATACACTTAGATATACTTTGATATACTTTGATACACTTTGATACACTAAGATAAACTTTAATACACTTAGATATACTTTGATACACTTAGATATACTTTGATACACTTAGATATACTTTGATATACTTTGACACCCTTAAATATACTTTGATACACTTAGATATACTTTGACACCCTTAGATATACTTTGATACACTTAGATATACTTTGATACACTTAGATATACTTTGATACATTTTGATACATTTAAATATACTTTGATACACTTAGATATACTTTGATATACTTTGACACCCTTAGATATACTTTGATACACTTAGATATACTTTGACACCCTTAGATATACTTTAATACACTTAGATATACTTTGATACACTTTGATAAACTTAGATATACTTTGATATACTTTGATACACTTAGATATACTTTTATACACTTAGATATACTTTTAAACACTTTGATACACTTAGATATACTTTGATACACTTATATATACTTTGACATACTTTAATGCACTTAGATATACTTTAATACACTTAGATATACTTTGATACACTTTGATACACTTAGATATACTTTGATATACTTTGATACACATTGATATACTTTGATATACTTTGATACACTTAGATATACTTTGATACACTTTGATACACTTTGATACACTTTGATACACTTTAATACACTTAGATAAACATTGATACACTTAGATATACTTTGATACACTTAGATATACTTTGATACATTTTGATACATTTAGATATACTTTGATACACTTAGATATACTTTGATATACTTTGATACACATTGATACACTTAGATAAACTTTGATACATTAGATATACTTTGATACACTTAGATATACTTTGATATACTTTGACACCCTTAGATATACTTTGATACACTTAGATAAACTTTGATATATTTTGATACACTTTGATTCACTTAGATAAACTTTGATACACTTAGATATACTTTGATACAATTAGATATACTTTGATACACTTAGATATACTTTGATACACTTAGATATACTTTGATACACTTAGATAAACTTTGATACATTTAGTTATACTTTGATACACTTAGATACACTTAGATATACTTTGATACACTTAGATATACTTTGATACATTTTGATACAATTAGATATACTTTGATACACTTAGATATACTTTGATATACTTTGATACACTTTGATACACTTAGATAAACTTTGATACACTTAGATATACTTTGATACACTTAGATATACTTTGATACATTTTGATACATTTAGGTATACTTTGATACTTTTTGATATACTTAGATACACTTAGATATACTTTGATACATTTTGATACATTTAGATATACTTTGATACACTTAGATATACTTTGATACACTTAGATATACTTTGATATACTTTGATGCACTTAGATATACTTTGATACACTTAGATATACTTTGATACATTTTGATACAATTAGATATACTTTGATACACTTAGATAAACTTTGATACACTTAGTTATACTTTGATACACTTAGATATACTTTGATACACTTAGATCTACTTTGATACATTTTGATACAATTAGATATACTTTGATACACTTAGATATACTTTGATATACTTTGATACACTTTGATACACTTAGATAAACTTTGATACACTTAGATATACTTTGATACACTTAGATATACTTTGATACATTTTGATACATTTAGGTATACTTTGATACACTTAGATATACTGATTAAACATCTTTTTATTTAATTAAAAATAAGTAGATTTTATTTTATTGTATTAAAAAAATATTCATTTTATCTTAATAACTCAATTTGTAGTTTCATAAATATTTAAAACTTTGTATTCCATTTGTTAGAATAATTCTCATGAAATGGTTTCATTCATTCATTGTAGTTAGTTAAGTAAATCACTCATAGATAGGGTAAGCTGCCAGGTTGGGTGCAATGGTCATGCTGGACGGTCTCAACGGTTGCTTCAGTGGTCAGAGTGTGGACAGAGACAGAGACAGAATGTGACATGTGCTTTTGTGCTTGGACTGAAGAGAAGATTTTTCACCATGTAGTCGTGAGTCAGACATTTACAGACATTAATTTCAAGGGTCATCAGCATCCCTTTCTCATTATTTATTAATTTTCTAAGGGTCAGCAGTATCCCTGCATATTTTCAACAAACTTTTATATTCAGTGTGCTGTACACAATTGTGCAATCCTGAACAAGCTCCAATACAGTACAGTAGTCACTAACTGAGGCTAATAGAGCCACTGCAGCTCAATTCTTCAACCATCTGTGGTCTAGTGGTCAGAGCATTGGACTTTCATTCTCAGAGTCCTGGGTTCCATCCTACCTGGCAGCAATATCTTTTTGCTCTTTTAAAAATTGTTTAAATATCAATTGTAACATTTTATTTTCATTTAAGGGTTATTTCATTTTATTTGTAAGCATAGGCTAATGGTTATTTTCTTTAATACATTTCATTTTGTCATAAATTGTGTTTTGTTATTTTTCACAGCAATCAAGTCTCAGGAATTAGCATAAAATTTCATAAGAGGTTAGAGTTAGGATTTTATTGTTTTAAAAGGCCTTAAATTTCCTCTTTGGCTTCAACATAGTGGTCCTTCGAGCCGGATTTTGATTAGTTGTGGAATATTACCAAATAAATATTATTTGTTCACTTATTAATCAATTGAATTGTGTAAATTTGTTTATACTTGATTACTGTTTATTACTGTATTCTTTACTCATTATTTTATTGTACACTTTGCATTTCAAACTCAAATTGATAACAGCCATCAACAGAATAGTTGTTCAAATATTACATAGTATATGATTTATTGTTGAAATTTCACAGACATTTCAGAACAATTGTATGTTGTATAGAATAAGTTTTAACTATTTTACTTGTCATGGTCCACTGTTTATTTGTCATTAGTATTTTCATAAGATGTATTTTGTTCATTTAATGTTTCATTGCAGGTCAGCACTTACAATCTGTTTTCAATCGTTTATAACTAATTGAATGGTTTCATACTAATGCACTTTTCAGTAGGTAGGTCTACTATTGTACAAGCTGTTTAATCATACTGCAGCCGAACTAAATTAATATTTTTTCATTCATTTTCAATTTTCCTTTGAACCAAAAACCTATCCCAGTCCAACATGGATGCCGAAGAGTTCAAACGCAAGGCTACCACTTTGAAAAGGAAATTAGTAGATAGTTTCAAGGAAGTTCAAGTAATAAATGAAAAGGGCAGAGCAGCACTCAACAATTAAGGACCAACATAATTCCTTCAAGGGCATGTTTAAGGTTCTTGAGAAATATTATTCAAGATTTGAAAATATTTGGGATGAGCTCACAGACCTGTATGAAACTGAGAAGTCTACTGGGAAACAAACCTTTCCTCAAGAAGATGACCTAACAATGCAAACTAAAGCTAAACGTTACTACTATGAAGCACACACTTCACATGAAACTATTCTCTCAGAGGTTAGCACTACTTCATCAAGGCAGAGTATGGGACTTAATGAATCTTTGTCACCAGAAGCCAGAAGCAACAAACATTTGCCTCGCATTAATCTTCCACATTTCAATGGCCAGATTACGAATTGGCCCAAGTTTCGAGATGCCTTCACTTCCATTATCCATAATGATGCCTTATTATCAAAAATGGAGAAATTTCACTATCTCGTCTCTTCTTTAGGGGGAACTGCCTCTGCAGTGATAAGACATCTTCCTTTGGTTGACGACAACTATGATATTGCATGGAAGGCTTTAAATGAAACTTTCAATAACAAGCGAATGCTTGCTTCAAATTACCTCAATCAATTGATGGCATTCAAACCACAACAGGGGAAGACAACTGTAGATTCACTTCAGTCATTCCTTTCTCAAATTTCAGATAATATTGCTGCATTTAAACTTTTGAAAATACCTGACGAAGGTGACTTCATTCTGTTTCATATAGCAGTTAGGCTGTTGGATCATACAACTCGAGAGCAATTTGAGTTGCAGCATAAAGGAAAAGATTTTCCTGTTTTCAATGATTTGACTAAATTTCTCCGTGAACGCTCTCTAGCTCTTCAGTTGGCTGGAGGAAACACACAACAATTGGAGATAAGGCCATCTACTTCTGGGAAGAATAGTGGGAGCTTCAAACCATAAAATAGTCGTAACTTGAAGACTTCACTCATATCCAGCTCTTTGCCTAAATCCTCGGCTAACTCCGACAGCAATGATGTATGCTTCATATGCCAAAGGGGGTCTCATGCTCTATTCAAATGCAATAAATTTGCTGATGCATCAGTTGATGATAGACATAAAATGTTGAAGTCTTGGCGTGGATGTAGAAACTGCCTGTCATACTATCACTCAACCAATAGATGCAATTCTAAATGGTCTTGCAAGGTCTGCAAGAAGAGGCATAATTCACTTTTGCATCTACCCGTTCCTGATAGCAATACATCCTCTTTGGAACATGAAGATACAACCGCAATCAAGGCTCATGTTGTGAATCCACCAGATTCTTCATTAACAGCAACCCTGCCTGAACAAAGTCAAGTCTTGTTGGGTACAGTTGTTGCTGAAATTCAGGATGTTCATGGCAACTTCACTCAAGTGAGACTCGTAGTGGACTCAGGTAGTCAGCACTCATTCATCACAAAGAAATGTGCAAATAAACTTGGCTTGATAATTAAATCATTCCCTCACAAAATCAGTGCTATTGGCCAGACAGTTTTTAATGGCACTAAAGGCAAAGTACGCTGTCAACTTAAACCACGCAACTTGCAGTCACCTATTGTCGAAACTGAAGCAATAGTTGTAAACAACATTACATCTCACTTACCTAATTTTGTCATGCCCTCCAATATTTGGAAAAATTACGCTACCTTTGACTTAGCTGACCCTAAGTTTTGGCAACCAGGTCCTGTAGATTTTCTGCTGGGATCAGATTTGTTCTCAGATATTTGGGATGGATCCACCGTGACAGTACAAGACAACCAGCCAAGGCTCTTTTCTTCTATATTTGGTTATATAGTCATAGGACGAGTTTCTGGAACTTGTTTATTATCCGTTGATGGTAACAACTCCTTCTTCACTGTTAACAATGAAGCTCATGACTTGAGACAACAGATCCAACGCTTTTGGGAACTTGAAGAGCCCCATACTGACATTAGTTTCACAAACCCTGAAGACGAAGCATGTGAAGCTCATTTCAAGAACACACACTTCAGGATGGACGATGGTCAATATGTTGTACGCCTACCTTTCAAGACGCCTAGTCCACAATTAGGAAATTTTGAAGGAACATCACTGAAGAGATTCTACAATCTTGAAGGAAAACTTATTAAAGACAAGAATTTGATGTCAGAGTATTATGATTTCATGAAAGACTATCAAGATCTGGGTCACATGAATGTCACAACTTCCCCTTCAAAGTATGTCATTTCTCACCACTGTGTGGTAAAAGAGGATAGAGGCAAAACAAAATTACGTGTTGTCTTTGACGCTTCTGCTCAGTCATCGCCCTTTCCTTCTTTGAACAGCCAACTCATGGTGGGTGCAAAGCTGCAACAAGACATTAGGGACATTCTTCTGAGATTTCGTTTGCACCCAGTTGTCTTCGTGGCTGATATTGTCAAAATGTATCGGCAAATTTTGGTTGACCCGCAGGACAGGTCCTACCAACACATTTATTGGAGATTTAATCCAGCAGACCCAATAAAAAAGTATGAATTGTGCACTGTAACGTATGGATTGACTTCTGCACCCTTTCTAGCACTTAGAGTTATGAAGCAACTCGCTTTAGACGAAGGCGAGAACCATCCAAGAGCTGCTCAAGCTATATCGCAGGATATGTATGTGGATGATATAGTGACTGGCACATCTTCACTGAATGAAGCTTTGAAGCTTCAACAAGAAACTATCCAATTATTAGAAAAAGGACACTTTTCACTAAGTAAATGGGCAAGTAACCAAGAAGAACTTTTAAAAGTGGCCAATTCAGGACAACAAGCAGACTCAGTCAACTTCTCTTCAAACGAAGACTCTAGTGTGAATATATTAGGACTTCATTGGGATCCAACAAATGATGTCTTCATTTTTAAGCTTCAGGACTTCTCTCCAGCATCTACCAAGCGATCTATCCTATCTACTGTTGCTAAAATATATGACCCTTTAGGATTCCTGGCACCAGTTACATTTTTAGCCAAAGGGATCATGCAGGAGTTATGGAAGCTTGGCTTGAATTGGGATGAAGAAATACCCTTTCATCTTAAATCAGTTTGGGAAGAGTTCATCAAACAGCTTAGGAATTTGTCAGACCTCACCATACCAAGACTTGTTGTACCCAACAAACCCCTTTCTTATCAACTAGTGGGATTTTCAGACGCATCAGCACAAGGATACTGTGCTACACTGTATCTCAGAGTCGTCAGTGAGGACCAAATATCCACACACCTTCTCGTCGCTAAAACTAAATTAGCACCAATCAAAACTGTCTCTATACCCCGTCTTGAATTGTGTGGGGCACATCTTTTAGCTAGACTTCATTCTTCAGTATCCAAGATGTTTTCTCTAAATACTGCAATCAAGTTCGAAGATCCAGTCTTCTTTACCGATGCATCAATTGTATTGAGTTGGCTCCATATGCCACTTTACAAGCTCAAGGTTTTCATCTCAAATAGAGTGTCACAAATTACAGAGCTCACATCGTTGTCATGTTGGCGACATGTACGTACAAGTGAGAATCCAAGTGATTGTGGATCAAGGGGATTGTCGGTCGACAAGCTCAAGAACAACAGTTTATGGTGGCATGGTCCCCAATGGCTATGTCAACATGCAGAAGAATGGCCGAAATCAAATGTGGACCTGACATTACAAACTGAACTCCCAGACCTGAAGATTGAACACACTACATTGATGTCTACTGACTCAGAACCTCTCATCATAACCTTCATCTCATCACAATCATCATATTACAAGATCTTGACAGCAATTGCTTGGTGGAAAAGATTTATAACTAATGCAATGGCAAAAATAAATTCTGGTCAAATTCGCATCGGTCCACTACACCCTTCTGAAATGAGGGAAGCTTTAATTTATGTAGTGAATAAGCTTCAGTCACACTACATATTTCAAGACAACACTTGCAACAAGGAAGAAATAGCCAATTCCAAGTTTTCCAACCTCTCTCCATTCTTCGATGAAAATGGCACCCTTAGAGTTGGCGGAAGACTAAACAGAGCTTCACTTCCTTCCAATCAACGACATCCTATTCTGCTGCCAAAGTGTCACTTCACTACTTTGCTTGTGGACTATTATCATAAGCTGTATTTACACCCAGGACCTGGTCTCTTGCAAGCATTAATTCAGCTTCGATTCTGGATACCTGCATTACGAAGTCTCGTTCGTCATCGCACATTCAAGTGTTTGACTTGCTACAAAGACAAGGCAAAGAACCTCACACCCAGAATGGCTGATCTTCCTCCATCAAGAGTAAATCCGAGTAGAGCCTTTCTTCATGTAGGTATTGATTTTGCTGGTCCATTCCCCATGAGAGAATCTCAACGAAGGAAAGCGGCAGTCACTAAAGCCTACCTTTGTGTCTTTGTATGTATGGCTACCAAAGCCGTTCATTTGGAAATCGTCAGTGCGCTGAGTACAGATGCATTTCTGGCTGCTCTCAATAGATTTATTGGTCGCAGGGGACTCCCCGAACAGTGTTACTCAGACTGTGGCACAAATTTTCAGGGAGCTGCTAACAAGTTGAGAGAGTTTGGGTCTTGGTATCGCCAACAGTCAACTCAAGAGGACATACTTCATCAAGCAACCAAATTGGAAATAAAGTGGAACTTTAATCCTCCTTCAGCACCCCACTTCGGAGGTCTCTGGGAAGCTGCCGTGAAGTCAGCGAAGACACTTCTCCGAAGAGTGGCAGGTGACACACCACTCACATATGAGGAGCTCACAACTTGGTTTATCAGAATTGAAGCTGTTTTAAACTCCAGACCTTTATGTCCGTTGTCATCATCTCCTGAAGAAACTGAGTTCCTATCACCTGGCCATTTTTTGATTGGGACATCACTCCTTGCCACCCCTGAACCGTCACTTTTAGATACTAAAGTATCATCTTTATCTCGTTGGCAATTGCTACTAAGAATGACTCAACACTTCTGGCAAAGATGGAGGGTTGAATACCTTACGTTCCTACAAAAGAGGAACAAATGGACCAAGAACTATGAGAATGCAAAAGTAGGCGATCTTGTCTTGCTAAAAGAGCCAAATGCCCCTGTTCTTCAATGGCCTTTGGCGAGAATTACACACGTGCACCCAGGTGAAGACGGTATTGTCAGAGTTTTGACAGTAAAGTGTGGACGTTCTGAGTTGAGAAGACCTGCAGTCAAAGTTGTTCCTCTCCTTCCCCTCCATACCAGTCACTTTGATTAAGTACCAAAATCAGTAGAAATTTCTTTGGAAATTTCGGTGGGGAGTATGATTAAACATCTTTTTATTTAATTAAAAATAAGTAGATTTTATTTTATTGTATTTAAAAAATATTCATTTTATCTTAATAACTCAATTTGTAGTTTCATAAATATTTAAAACTTTGTATTCCATTTGTTAGAATAATTCTCATGAAATGGTTTCATTCATTCATTGTAGTTAGTTAAGTAAATCACTCATAGATAGGGTAAGCTGCCAGGTTGGGTGCAATGGTCATGCTGGACGGTCTCAACGGTTGCTTCAGTGGTCAGAGTGTGGACAGAGACAGAGACAGAATGTGACATGTGCTTTTGTGCTTGGACTGAAGAGAAGATTTTTCACCATGTAGTCGTGAGTCAGACATTTACAGACATTAATTTCAAGGGTCATCAGCATCCCTTTCTCATTATTTATTAATTTTCTAAGGGTCAGCAGTATCCCTGCATATTTTCAACAAACTTTTATATTCAGTGTGCTGTACACAATTGTGCAATCCTGAACAAGCTCCAATACAGTACAGTAGTCACTAACTGAGGCTAATAGAGCCACTGCAGCTCAATTCTTCAACCATCTGTGGTCTAGTGGTCAGAGCATTGGACTTTCATTCTCAGAGTCCTGGGTTCCATCCTACCTGGCAGCAATATCTTTTTGCTCTTTTAAAAATTGTTTAAATATCAATTGTAACATTTTATTTTCATTTAAGGGTTATTTCATTTTATTTGTAAGCATAGGCTAATGGTTATTTTCTTTAATACATTTCATTTTGTCATAAATTGTGTTTTGTTATTTTTCACAGCAATCAAGTCTCAGGAATTAGCATAAAATTTCATAAGAGGTTAGAGTTAGGATTTTATTGTTTTAAAAGGCCTTAAATTTCCTCTTTGGCTTCAACATATACTTTGATATACTTTGATTTACTTTGATATACTTTGATACACTTTGATACACTTAGATAAACTTTGATACACTTAGATATACTTTGATACACTTAGATATACTTAGATACACTTAGATATACTTTGATACACTTTGATATACTTTGATACACTTTGATACACTTAGATATATTTAGATATACTTTGATACTCTTAAATATACTTTGATACATTTTGATTCACTTATATATACTTTGATACACTTAGATATACTTTGATATAATTTGATACACTTTGATACACTTAGATAAACTTTGATACACTTAGATATACTTTAATACACTTAGATATACTTTGATACACTTAGATATACTTTGATACACTTAGATATACTTTGATACACTTAGATATATTTAGATATACTTTGATACTCTTAAATATACTTTGATACATTTTTAAACACTTATATATACTTTGATACACTTAGATATATTTAGATATACTTTGATACTCTTAAATATACTTTGATACATTTTGATACACTTATATATACTTTGGTACACTTAGATATACTTTGATACACTTAGATATACTTTGATATACTTTGATACACTTTGATACACTTAGATAAATTTTGATACACTTAGATATACTTTGATACACTTTGATACACTTTAATACACTTAGATAAACATTGATACACTTAGATATACTTTGATACACTTAGATATACTTTGATACATTTTGATATAATTTGATATACTTTGATACACTTTGATACACTTAGATAAACTTTGATACACTTAGATATACTTTGATACACTTAGATATACTTTGATACACTTAGATATACTTTGATATACTTTGACACCCTTAGATATACTTTGATACACTTTGATACACTTAGATAAACTTTGATATACTTTGATACACTTTGATACACTTAGATAAACTTTGATACACTTAGATATACTTTGATACACTTAGATATACTTTGATACACTTAGATATACTTTGATACACTTAGATATACTTTGATACACTTTGATATACTTTAATACACTTTGATATACTTTGATATAAATTGATACACTTTGATACACTTAGATATACTTTGATACATTTTGATACAATTAGATATACTTTGATACACTTAGATATACTTTGATATACTTTGATACACTTTGATACACTTAGATAAACTTTGATACACTTAGATATACTTTGATACACTTAGATATACTTTGATACACTTAGATATACTTTGATACATTTTGATACATTTAGGTATACTTTGATACACTTAGATATACTTTGATATACTTTGATATACTTTGATACACTTTGATACACTTAGATAAACTTTGATACACTTAGATATACTTTGATACACTTAGATATACTTTGATACACTTAGATATACTTTGATACATTTTGATACATTTAGATATACTTTGATACACTTAGATATACTTTGATACACTTAGATATACTTTGATATACTTTGATGCACTTAGATATACTTTAATACACTTAGATATACTTTGATACACTTTGATACACTTAGATATACTTTGATATACTTTGATACACATTGATATACTTTGATATACTTTGATACACTTAGATATACTTTGATATTTTTTGATACACTTAGATTTACTTTGATACACTTAGATATACTTTGATACACTTTGATATACTTTGATACACTTTGATACACTTAGATATACTTTGATACACTTAGATATACTTTGATACACTTTGATATACTTAGATACACTTTGATACACTTAGATATACTTTGATACACCTAGATACACTTAGATATACTTTGATACACTTAGATATACTTTGATACACTTAGATATACTTTGATACACTTTGATATACTTTGATACACTTTGATACACTTAGATATACTTTGATACACTTAGATATACTTTAATACACTTTGATACACTTATATATACTTTGACATACTTTGATACATTTTGATACATTTAGATATACTTTGATACACTTAGATATACTTTGATACACTTAGATATACTTTGATATACTTTGATGCACTTAGATATACTTTAATACACTTAGATATATTTTGATACACTTTGATACACTTAGATATACTTTGATATACTTTGATACACATTGATATACTTTGATATACTTTGATACACTTTGATACACTTAGATATACTTTGATACACTTAGATATACTTTAATACACATTGATGTACTTAGATACACTTAGATATACTTTGATACATTTTGATACATTTAGATATACTTTGATACACTTAGATATACTTTGATATACTTTGATACACTTTGATACACTAAGATAAACTTTAATACACTTAGATATACTTTGATACACTTAGATATACTTTGATACACTTAGATATACTTAGATATACTTTGATACACTTAGATATACTTTGATACACTTAGATATACTTTGATACACTTAGATATACTTTGATACACTTAGATATACTTTGATACACTTTGATACACTTAGATATACTTTGATATACTTTGATACACTTAGATATACTTTGATACACTTAGATATACTTTGATACATTTTGATACATTTAAATATACTTTGATACACTTAGATATACTTTGATATACTTTGACACCCTTAGATATACTTTGATACACTTAGATATACTTTGACACCCTTAGATATACTTTAATACACTTAGATATACTTTGATACACTTTGATACACTTAGATATACTTTGATATACTTTGATACACTTAGATATACATTTATACACTTAGATATACTTTTAAACACTTTGATACACTTAGATATACTTTGATACACTTATATATACTTTGACATACTTTAATGCTCTTAGATATACTTTAATACACTTAGATATACTTTGATACACTTTGATACACTTAGATATACTTTGATATACTTTGATACACATTGATATACTTTGATATACTTTGATACACTTAGATATACTTTGATACAATTTGATACACTTTAATACACTTAGATAAACATTGATACACTTAGATATACTTTGATACACTTAGATATACTTTGATACATTTTGATACATTTAGATATACTTTAATACACTTAGATATACTTTGATATACTTTGATACACTTTGATACACTTAGATAAACTTTGATACATTAGATATACTTTGATACACTTAGATATACTTAGATACACTTAGATATACTTTGATACACTTTGATATACTTTGATACACTTTGATACACTTAGATATATTTAGATATACTTTGATACTCTTAAATATACTTTGATACATTTTGATTCACTTATATATACTTTGATACACTTAGATATACTTTGATATAATTTGATACACTTTGATACACTTAGATAAACTTTGATACACTTAGATATACTTTAATACACTTAGATATACTTTGATACACTTAGATATACTTTGATACACTTAGATATACTTTGATACATTTAGATATATTTAGATATACTTTGATACTCTTAAATATACTTTGATACATTTTTAAACACTTATATATAATTTGATACACTTAGATATATTTAGATATACTTTGATACTCTTAAATATACTTTGATACATTTTGATACACTTATATATACTTTGGTACACTTAGATATACTTTGATACACTTAGATATACTTTGATATACTTTGATACACTTTGATACACTTAGATAAATTTTGATACACTTAGATATACTTTGATACACTTTGATACACTTTAATACACTTAGATAAACATTGATACACTTAGATATACTTTGATACACTTAGATATACTTTGATACATTTTGATATAATTTGATATACTTTGATACACTTTGATACACTTAGATAAACTTTGATACACTTAGATATACTTTGATACACTTAGATATACTTTGATACACTTAGATATACTTTGATATACTTTGACACCCTTAGATATACTTTGATACACTTTGATACACTTAGATAAACTTTGATATACTTTGATACACTTTGATACACTTAGATAAACTTTGATACACTTAGATATACTTTGATACACTTAGATATACTTTGATACACTTAGATA